GCCTGCCCCCTCACCCCCTGCCTCTCCCCCCCACCAGGCCGGCTGGTGTCACACTCCACCCCCATCTGCTGGTGGCGGGGCCAGGACCCCCGGGCCCACGGCCGCAAGAGCCCCGAGATGGGGCGCAGCTTCTTCAGCTGGTTTGGGGACCACAGCTTCCCTGCCGGCGACCGGATCGCTGAGGTGAGCCCCCCCTGAACTCCCCAGCCCCCCGCCGGACGCCCCTCCCGCCTCTTACCCCTTCTGCTCTGTGCCCCCAGATCATCAAGGAGGACCTCTGGCCCAATCCCCTGCAGTACTACCTGATGGGTGAGAACGGGGGCGCCGGGGACGACAGGTGAGACTGCGCCCCCCGCCAGAGCGGGGGGACATCGGGGTACGGCAGGCTGGGGAGCCAGGCGCTGTGGGGAACTTGTCGGTGGCTGAGAAGTGCATGCTGGGTAAGCCCCAGGGGACAGGCGCTGAGCATTGTGTGTACCCCGGGGGCCGGGCGCTTAGCATTATGGGTAACACAAGGCGGGCACTAAGCATTGTGGGTAACCTGGGGGGCGCCGAGTATTGTGAGTATCCCGGGGGGACGGGCACCAAGCATTGTGGGTAATGGGAGGGGGGCGGGCGTCAAGCATCATGGGTACCCGGGGGGACGGGTGTCGAGCATTGTGGGTAACCCGGGGCGGGGACAGGCACTGAGCATTGTGGGTATCCTGGGGGGGTGGGCGTTGAGCATTGTGGGTAATGGGGGGTGGGCGTCAAGCATCGTGGGTACCTGGGTGGGGGGAGGGTGGGCACTGAGCATTGTGGGTAATGGGGGGGTGGGCGTCAAGCATCGTGGGTACCCGGGTGGGGGAAGGGTGAGCACTGAGCATTGTGGGTACCCCGCAGGGATGGGCGCTGAGCATTGTGGGTAACCCGGTGGGGGGACGGGCGCCGAGCATTGTGGGTAACTCTGCGGTGCCCACAGCGGGACCGAGCACGGGGACGACTGTGTGGTGATCGTGGATGACGAGGGGGAGGAGGACGAAGTGCAGGAAATCATGGACGAGGAAGAGGACGGCGAGGAAGGTCAGTAATGGGGGTCCCTGGGTAACACCCCCTCCCCCAAGGGGCTGTGTCTCTGCGCCGGGCGGGGGGGTTTCTCGTGACGGGGGAAGGGCTGGGCGAGCAGGGGTTGTGGGACGGGATGGGGGGTGTGGTGGTGGAGTCGGGGGGGGTTGTGGGACGGGATTGAGGGGCACCGGTGGAGTGGGGGCGGGTTGTGGGTCGGGATTGGGGGGCGCCGGCAGCACCCACGTCTGTCCCCGTCCCCCCCCAGGCAGCGCGGCGGAGGAACTGATGGCGGCGGCGTCCGGCCGTGGCTCAGAGCCGGAGGAAGACGGATGATCCCCCCCCCAACCCCACCAGCACCCGAAGACGGACCAGGATCCCCCCCCCCGGCGCCCCCTGCTGGGCTGGACTCTGTGATTGAGCTTTGCCCGCGGCCCCAGCTCAGGGCTTGGGGCAATTAATCGCATCCCTTAAGTTATTGAGGGGGGCTGCAGTTCCCAGCCTGGCCACTGGGGGGCAGCGCTCCCCCCCGCGGTGTCACAAGTGGGGCAGTCGTCTGGGGGGGGGCCTGGGCCTGCTGGGGTCGGGTATCGGCCCAGGGCGCTGGGGGCATGGTGGGTAAATACCCCCCCATGGGCCCGTGGGGCCCTGTCTGGCCATGGGAGAGGGGCATTGTGGGTAAATACCCCCCCAGTGGGCCGGGTGGGGGCCCCTGTCTGGCCATGGGAGAGGGGCATTGTCGGGTAAATAACCCCCCCCCCCCCCGTGGCCAGGGGGGGCCTGCCCCTCCAGTGGCCTGTTCCGTGCAGCTCAGGGTCTTTTTCCATTAATTAATTGTGTTCAGTGGTTGGCCGTTAACACCCCCCCAGCCTGGGGCCCCCCCGGACCCACTGCCAACCTCAGGGCTCCCCGAGCACCTCCGCTGCACCCCCCGCAGCTCAATCCCATCAGCCCCTGGGGCTGGGCACGATGTGATCTGCCTGTCTGCTGGGGGGCACCGTGGGGCAGGGTGGGGGGCCCCTCTGATGTCTTGTAGCCGTGGGTCAGGCGCTGGGCTGGCCAGCCCCGGCGCCCCCCATGGCCGCCCTATGCAATGCTACTGAAGGGGGCGGGGGTTGGACACGGCCCCCTGAAAACAAAGCACTTAATATACGGAGAGATTTCACCCCTCCGGCTCCTTCCTGGTGCGCCGCCCCCTGCCCGCCCGCCGTGGGGTCCCCCTATCCCCCTGCCCATCCGGCCCGCCTGCCATGGGGTCCCCCTGCTTGCCCACTGTGGGGTCCCCCCAACCCCCTGCCCATCCAGCCCACCCGCCATGGGGTCCCCCCAACCCCCTGCCCACCCGCCAGGGGGTCCCCCCATCTCCCTGCTCGCCTGCTGTGGGGTCCCTCCATACTCCTCCCCATCCGGCCCACCCGCCGTGGGGTCCCCCAGCCCCCTGCTCGCCTGCTGTGGGGTCCCTCCATCCCCCTGCTCATCCGGCCCACCCGCCGTGGGGTCCCCCAGCCCCTGCTCGCTGTGGGGTCCCGCTGCCCACAGTGGGGTCCCCCCATCCCCCTGCCATGGGTCCCTCATCCCCCCCAGGACGTCCTTCCTGCCCGGCTGTCTGAGCAAAGGGGCCGTGGCAGACCCCCCTTCCCCACCCCCACCCCAAGCTGAGAGAACCCAGGTGTCCTGGCTCCCCACCCCCGCTGTGGGGGCATTGCTGAGTTTCGAGGTCTCAGGGTCTGTTTGGTCCCCGGGCCTGGGGCTGCCAGCGAAGCCCGGGTGGGCTCGTGGGGCAGCAGAGATATTCCCAGCATGCACTGCTGCGGGGGAGCCCCCAAAGGCTGCAGCTCCCAGCATGCCCCCAGGCTGGGGGGGCTCCCCACATCGTCCTAGATCTGTTCCCCCCCCCCCCACCTGCTTCTCCCTCCGGGAACCCCCCCACTTCGCCCTTGAGGGACAACCCCCCCCCCATACAGTTCCCCCTCCCCCCTCTGGGGACCTGCCCCTCCTCGGACCCCCACTTCCCCTCCCCCCTCTGGGGACCTACCCCTCCCCCGACCCCCACTTCCCCTCCCCCCGCCGGGGAGGCCCCATCCCCTGCGCTGTTCCGGGGCCCGCCCCCAGCCAGGTGAGGGGGGAGGGCAGCGGGCAGGGAGGGGTTAACGGGGGGGGGATCAGCTGCTGGGCAGGGATTGGCCGGGGGATTATCGGCCCCCTTCGTCCTGGGAACTTCCCATGGGGGGGGGGGCAGATCTCACCCCCCCGCGGGGCAGCCGGACGCGGAGCGGGGACCGAGACGACTGGGAGCCGGGACAGAGCCGGGGTAAGGGTCCCCCCAGCGTCCCCCCCTCCAGCCCCGCAGCCCCCCACTCCCGACTCTCAGCCCCAGCGCCCCCACTCCCGCCCCACAGCCCCAGCGCCCCCCCCGACTCTCAGCCCCCGCCCCCCACTCCAGCCGCCCCCCCAGCGCCCCTCACTCCCGACCCACAGCCCCCGCCCC